CGTAATCGGTATGCTTGGCGGCCCTGGTGGAGCAAAGAGGTGGTGGAGAGGGCTGGAGCAAAGGTCGACTTAGTACAGGTGAGGGAGGAGTGATGTATGCTGCTATGTGACGCCTTCCTGCAGTGCAGTGCAATGTCTGTGTCTGTCCTATCTGTCTTCTCAGGGGTGGCATCGCATTTGCAGTTTCGCGTGGCCCGATAGCCGAGAGGGGGTCTACCTGGACACCCATGCACCCCTTGTCCCGCCCTCCCATCCCCGCCCAGACGTGCTATCCGTCGCCTCTGTCGACGGCCATGCTCGTCTGGACTTGTACCCCCACTCTCACCTCTTCTCAGTCAGCTACATGTACACCGTCCCGGCGCACCGGTCGGTGTCCATCGACGGCCGCACCAACGCCATATCCATCCGCTACGAGCACGTGTTCGCCACGCAGTACTTCTGCCTGAGGGGCACGTTCGCGGCCGAGTGGCTGCACCCGCTGCGTCTGGCGGTGCGGGGGCTTCTCAAGAGATCGCGGCTGCTGGATGCTTATCTCAAGGAGCGGGGAGTGGGGGACGAGGGGAGAGCTCATCTGAGAGGTGAGCGAGCCATGTCATGTGTGTGCAGTGCCCGGCTAAGGGCCACAAGGCGCGAATGGATCGCCCTTTCTATCCATCCCTTGGTGTGTGGTGTGATGGTTGGTGCGGTGCAGGTGAGGTGTCGTTCTTCGAGTCTTATCTGGCCTACCTCGAGTCGCGTATCGAGGAAGCCCCTCTCGAGTGGATGCCTGACACCAACGACAGCGAGCGAGCCAGGGTCATCACCCAGCCGCCCACACCACCGCTCCTCGAGGCACAAGAGGCACCCAACGCCAAGTCGGTGCCGCCACGCCAGCACACTGACTGGCATCACACTGTGACGAAATAGAGGGAGGCATCATGCGCTCGATAATGGGCTTATCCGCGTGTGCATTCAGGCGCTCTCCAAGGCTGACATCTCGCGGCTGGAGGGATGACGACGGTCCTTGCCGCTTGGTGCCTGGCGGCGTTTTGGGGTCTCGCGTCCTGGTGGTTCCCGAAGGGACGATATGGCTGCACGCGGACCTGAGGGAGGCCACAGTGTGCCTGGCGGGGCAGGAGGAAGACATGGTGTGGGTGTCCACCGGGAGCGGCCAGGCCTGGCGCGCCAGGGAGGGCTTCTCCCTCAGTAATGAAGGACACACGCGCATGGCATGGCCGTTCGTTCTTGAATGTCTGTCTGTGTGCGCGTTGGTAGGTCGGACGAGTGGCTTTCCGATGGTGCTGCAACGCACCTTCATGCCCTGGGACGAACGCAGGCAATGACTGACTGACTGACACGATGGATGCGATGGATGCGGGAACACATGTAATACTCACTCGTTTGTGCCTGTTTGTGATGCTTCTTGGCCATCCATCCGTCGTGGCTGCATGGCATGGCATGCAGGGCTGCGTTGAGGCGTCTGTTTGAGGAGGCCTTCTGCACCATCGGGTGCCACCGGGAAGCAGCACAGCTAGCACGGACAAACAACTCATGTGCCCTCCCGGTCTGCAGAGTGAGTGAGCCAATATTGATTCCACTTCCTTCACACATCGATGGATGGCCTCTGTGTCTTCTCTTCCTTCGCGTGTCGTGTCAGGTTGTGGACCGTCCCTCTCCTGACGATATGGGCGAGTCTGATG